TTTTTTTTACAATTTCTGGCAAATATCACTGCCTACTTTAAAAGCTGAAAACGTCAGCTATTTGCTTTCCCAGCCTCCCTTGCAGCAAGGATCTTGTGCTAGGCTCCACCTAACAAAGGCATCCACACCAGAATTTGAATAGGAGAGCTGGGGAATGGAGTCAGGAATGGAACTACCTCCCTCAGGTGGAAGTAGCTACAGCAGGATCAAGCTCCCAGGGAACAAGACAGGCAGAGCCCATTGTGGCAGTGGCCAGTGGTGCAAGCTGCAGTTCAATGCTTGACAATAGAAACACAGTTCAGGGACATGATTTGGGATACTGACCCAGACTTTGGGATATATAGCCAGGGCCTCCAGTAATTCTGCGTTACCTAATATGCATATTTTATGAAGGAAAATTTCATTGATGTTCAACATGCTTATGGAAAAGTGCACAGAATAACATATGGAAGGGAAAAGTACGTATAATATTAAGTATACAGCTCAAAAATTTTTCACAAACTAAACCCACTTGTATCAAGCAGAATATTCCAAGTACTCCCAAAGCTCCCTGGTTCCCCCTTCCAGTTACCATTTCCCTCCCAAGGGTAACCGCTGTCCATTATTCTGACGTCTAACAAGAGACTGGTTTTGCCTGCTTTTCAATCTGATATAAATGGAATCAATCACTATGCTCTTTCATATCTGGCTTCTTTCACTCAATATTATGTTTGGGAGATTTACTCCATAGTTGTGTGTACCTACAGTCTGTCCATTCTCACTCTGTATGTATAGCTTTCTATCATTGGGTGACTACTCCACTACTCTATGCTACTGTTGATGGGTATCTGCATAGTTTTCTGGCGTGGCTCAGCGGTTGAGCATCGACCTGGGATCCAGGCAATCAGGGTTCGATTCCTGGTCAGGGCACATGCCCGGGTTGCGGGCTCTATCAATGACTCTCTCATCATTGATGTTTCTATCTCTCTCTCTCTCCCTCTCCTTTCCTCTCTCTGAAATCAATAAAGATATATTAAAAAAAAACACAAAAAAACAAAAACAAAAAACAAACAAACAAATGGACACATCAGTGAACCCATGTGTATGTGAATCTACTGGTTATATATCTAGGAATGAAATTGTGGGGTCAAAGGGTACACACATACCCCAATATCTTTTTCTAAAAAAGTATGTTTTTATTGATTTTAGAGAGAGGAAGGGAGAGAGATAGATAGAAACATCAATGATGAGAGTCATTGATCAGCTGCCTCCTGCACGCCCCCTACTGGGAATCGAGCCCGCAACCTGAGCATGTGCACTGACCAAGAATCAAACTGTGACCTCCTGGTTCATAGGTCAACGCTCAACCACTGAGCCATGCCAGCTGGGCTACTTCGAGATCTTTTTAATAAACTCCTTTTCTGCTTAAAATCAATTGGATTTTATTTCTGTTGCTTACGATTAAGAACCTGGACTGATATGCTATCCATTTTTTCAGCAGCCATTTTCTCCACAGATTTCCTTGACTATAAATGCCCTGGAGGAGCAGTCATAGTGCACATCCCAAAATTTCCATATATCTCATACTATCCTGAATTACTTAGTTATTGTATGCCTGCAAACCCTGTCTTCCCTATTGTCATAAGTTCCAAAAGAGTCTTCAACTGTCACTTTGCAACAAACTGATGTGCCTTGGTAAATTATAGCATACAACAGGTAATTTGTTAATAAAAAAGTACCAAAGTCTGTGAATGAATGACAAGATTCCTTTTTGATAATATCTCTGCAACTCGTTTGAATTCCAATATGTTCCCTTAAACAGATGATATTATTTATCTATGCCACAGCCCCTAGGAATGTGTCTTTTATATGAATGTCATCCATCATGGGTGTCATGGTGGGAGAGACTATGTCTATTACATTTACTCTATCTCCTATTATTCCTAGTAGTGCTGAATACACATTAGATTCTCAATAAATACTGATTGATCATATCAAGGTAAAAATACCCTGCAATAAGAACCTGAAATATAGCT